ATATATGCACACGTGTGTTTATTGCAACACTATTCACAATAGTAAAGATATGGAATCATTCAAATGCCCATTAATGACAGACTGGACAAAGAAAATGTGGTGCATATACACCACAGAATACTATGCAGCCATAAAAAGGAATGAGATTATGTCTTTTGGAGCTGGAAGCCATCATGATCAGCAAAGTAACACAGGAAAATAAAACCAAACATCACATGCTCTCACTCATAATTGGGAGCTGAACAATGAGAACACATGGACACAGGGAGGGGAACAACACAAACTGGGGCCTGTCAGTGGGCAGGGGGAGGTGAGCATCAGGACAAACAGCTATGCATGTTGAGCTTAATACCTAGGTGATGGATTGATAGGTGCAGCAATACACCGTGACACACATTTACCTATGTAACAAACCTGCGTGTTCCACATATGTATCCAAGAACTTAAAATAAAAATTAAAAAAAAATAATAATAACAATAGCAATTCTGACTGGTGTGAGATAGAATCTCATTTTGAATTTGATTTGCACTTCTCTAATAATTAGTGCTATTGAACATTTTGTCATATGCTTGTTGGCTGGGTGTATGTATGCCTTCTTTTGAAAAGTGTCTGCGTCATTTGCCTGCTTTTTAATAGGGTTGTTTGTTTTATGCATGTTACTTTAAGTTCCTTATAGATTCTGGATATTAGACCTTTGTTGGATGCATAATTTGCTAATATTTTCTCCAATTTAATAAGTTGTCTGTTTACTCTGTTTATAGTTTCTTTTGCTGTGCAGAAGCTCTTTAGTTTATTTAAGTTCCCTTTGTCAATTTGTGTTTCTGTTGAAATTGCTTTTGGCATCTTGGTCATAAAATCTTTGCCAGGTCCTTTGTCCAGAATGGAAGTTCCTAGGTTATCCCCCAGAATTTGTATAGTTTTAGGTTTTACATTTAAGTGTTTAATCCATCTTGAATTAATTTTTGTATATGGTGCAAGGAAGGGCTCCAGTTTCAGTCTTCTGCAGATGGGTAACCAGTTATTCCAGCACCATTTATTCAATAGGGAGTCCTTTCCCAATTGCTTGTTTTTGTCAATTTTGTTGAAGATCAGATGGTTGTAGGTGGGTGACATTATTTCTGGAGTCTCTATTCTGTTCCATTAGCCTATGTGTCCTTTTTATTGTACCAATATCATGCTATTTTGGTTACTGTAGACTTTTAGTATTGTTTGAAGTTAGATAATGTGATGCCTCCAGCTTTGTTCTTTTAGCTTAGGGTTGCCTTGGCTATTTGGGCTCTTGTTTAGTTCCAAATGGAATTTTAAAGTAGAGTTTTCTAATTCTGTAATGAATTTGGCAGTTTGATAGGAATAGCATTGACTTGGTAGTTTCATAGGAATAGCATCGAATGTGTAAATTGCCTTGAGAACTATGGCCATTTTAACAATATTGATTCTCCCTACCTAAGAGCATGGAATGTTTTTCCATTTGTTTGTGCCATCTCTGATTTCATTAAGCAGTATTTTGTAATTCTTGTTGTAGAGGTTTTTCACCTCCTTGGTTAGCTATATTCTTAGGTATTTTATTCTTTTTGTGGCTATTTTGAATGGGATTGCATTCTTAATTTAGCTTTCAGCTTGGATGTTGTTGGTTTATAGGGATGCTACTGATTTTTGTACATTTATTTTGTGTCCTGAAACCTCGCTGAAGTTGTTTATCAGATAGATCAAGGAACTTTTGGGCAGAGACTACAGGGTTTTCTAGCTATAGAATCATATTGTCTACAAACAGGGAAAATTTGCCTTCCACTCTTCCCAATTGGATGCCTTTTATTTCTGGTTCTTGCCTAATTACTCAGGCCAGGACTTCCAGAACAATGTTGACTAGGACCAGTGAGAGTGCGTATCCTTGTCTTGCTCCAATTTTCAATGGGAATGCTTCCCGGTTTTACCCATTCAGTACAATGCTGGCTATGGGTGTTTCATAGATGGTGCTTATTATTTTGAGGTATGTTCCTTCAATGCCTAGTTTGTTGAGGGTTTTTAACATGAATAAATATTGAATTTTATGGAAGACCTTTTCTGCATCGATTGAGATGATCATGTGGTTTTTACTTTTGGTTCTGTTTATATGGTGAATCACATTTATTAATTTGTGTATGTTGAATCAACCCTGCATTTTAGGTATCGCGGTGGATTCGCTTTTTGATATGCTGCTGAATTTCGTTTGCTATAATATTAACAGTATTTTGTTGATGATTTTTGCATCTATGTTCATCAAGGATATTGCCTTGAAATTTTCTTTTTTTGTTGTGTCTCTGCAAGGTTTTATATCAACATCACGCTGGCATCATGAGTTAGGGAGGAGTCCATCCTCCTCATTTTTTTTTGAAATATTTTCAGTAGGAATGGTATCAGCTCTTTTTTATGCATCTGGTAGAATTCAGCTGTTTTCATCTGGTCCTGGGCTTTTTTTGGTTGGTAGGGTTTTTATTACTGAATCAATTTCAGAACTTGTTATTGGTCTATTCAGGGATTCAATCTCTTCCTGGTTAAATCTCGGGAGGTTGTATGTTGCCAGGAATTTATTTCTTCTAAGTTTTCTGGCTTGTGTGCATAGAGGGATTCATAGTGGTCTCCGAGGGTGTTTTTTTTTTTTTTTTTTTTTTTTTTTTCTATTTCTGGAGTATCATTGGTAATGTCCCCTTTGTCATTCTGATTGTGTTTCTCTCTCTCTCTCTCTCTCTTTTTTAAATTAGTCTAGCTAGCAGTCTAATTTCTTTCAAAGAACAAGCTCCTTGATTCATTGACCTTTTGTATGGTTTTTCTTCTAATTTTTCTTCAATTTAGCTCTGATTTTGGTTATTTATTTTATCTTCTGCTAGCCTTGGGTCGGTTTGCTCTTTCTCTCCTCCTCCTCCTCCTCTTCTTCTTCTTCTTCTTCTTCTTCTTCTTCTTCTTCTGCTTTTTTTTTTTTTAAATAGGTTTCATTATGTTTCTGGTGTAGGATTGTGACATACTTCCTCATTTCACTGTGAGCCATTCCCTTGACTCTAAGCTAAATTAGTGCACTATTTCTTATAAGAGGATATCTTTGACAACCTAAAATAATTAGGTTGTTATTGCATACAAAATTATGACCTACTCTATAGTGTGTTTGTGATAATAATTTGTAATGGTAAAACTATAAAAAAAGCCATATTGATAATTGTAGACAAAAATGTGAACTATATAGATATTTTGCTTATGCTTCCTACTCTACTTTGGCAGTTTGTATCTGGGTGTAAAATCATTCTAAAAATCGGAGAAGACATTTGTGAGACTGGGAAAATATATTATAAAGAAGGTAGTAAAGATTTTTCTTCTTTTGTGTGTGTAAACGTTTTTCTCGTTTTTTTTAATTATTCAAGTAATACGTGAATACATGCTCATTAGTACAAGAATTCAAACTGTATGTAAATATATACAGTAAAAAGTTACTCCAGTTACCTCCTAACACTCTCCCTCCAGAGGAAGCTACTATTAAGAATTTGATTTGTATCCTTTTCCGTCAACATGGTTACACCTATTAAGGTAACTAAAAGGCAGAAAAAGTCAGTTTAACAAAGAAGTTAAGCATGCTTTCTTTGAAGGTGGGCTGCCTGGGTCAAAACCCAGACTCTGCTACTTAACATTGTGTGATATTGGTCATGTTATCTAACGTCTCCGTGCCTGGGTTTTCTCATAGGTAAAATGGGGATACTAAGAGCTTCACAGACATGTTATGAGGATGTCTTTAGCATGTGCGAAGTATTTAGAATAGTGTCTGGCATATAGTGCACACAATTCATCATGGAATCATGATACATATATTGTTTCACAGCTTGTATTCTATACACATAGGGGAAACGTAGTGTAGCCATTAAGAGCATGAATTCTGATTCTGAATCCAATTATCAGGTGCAAATCCTAGTTCTATCATTTACTAGCTTCGTGACTGTCAGGAAGTATATAACCTTCCTTTGTCTTTGTTTCCTCTGTAAAATGGGGGTAAGAGCTTTAGCTCTAAATTAAGTAGTATATATAGGACATTTAGAATGACTGTCATGTAGTAATTACTCAGTAGATGCTTATTATTATGTCATTGAAAGCACTCAGTTTATTATTTAATGTTATAGATATATTACAATTAATTTAACAATTTGTAGTTGATGGTCATTTAGATTACTTCTAATTATTAATTGTTACAAAATATTCTGGTGTCCATATTTTAACTAAAAATGGAATTACCATTTGACCCAGTCGACCCACTGCTGTGTATCTATCAGAAGGAAAATAAATTGTTATATCAAAAAGACACCTGTACATTTGTGTTTATCACAGCACTATTCACAATAGAAAAGTCATGGAATCAATCCAAGTGTCCATCAATAGATGACTGGATAAAGAAAATGTGGTATATACACACAATAGAACACTACCCAGCCATGAAAAAAGAGTGAAATCATGTCTTTTGCATCAGCATGAATGGAGTTTGAGGCCATTATCCTAAGTGAAATAACTCAGAAAGAGAAAACAAAATACCACACGTTCCCACTTATAAGTGGGAGCTAAATGGGTATAAATGAGCATATAGAGGAAAATAATAGACACTGGAGACTACAGAAGGGGGCCAGGTTGGGAGGGGTGTGAGGGTTGAAAAATTACCTGTTGAGTACAATGTTCACTTTTCAGGTGATGCGTATGCTAGAAGCCTAAACTCCACCACTGCACAATATATCCATGTAACAAACCTGCACATGTACCCCATGAATCTATAAATATTTTTTAAAAATTAAAATAACTTTGTATCTACCTTAACGTGTATGATAAAAAGCTAGTGCTATTAACATTTTCCCGTTCTCATTGTCACTGAAAACTTGAATAAACACTTTCAAGATCCTCTTTTGGATCATTACCACACTGTACACGTGATCAATCCACGTCATTTTCTTATTAGTTTGGTTCAGTCCCAGGGTGTGAGTGGAAAGCAGAACAATTTGTGTGGTTAAAGCTTTATTTCTGAAGAGTAAATGAAATATGAAAACTACATGAGCCAAACAGGATTTCTTCTGTGTTTGCACTGTTGGAGTCTCAGAAAAACAACTCTTTAGGTATCCTGATATTTGAAAAAGGTAAGTCTAAAATCTTACATATTTTAGTTCTTTTTTTATTTTCTTCACAGTAGGCTTTAAATATGAATATAAGTGCATTTCTTGGAAACAGTTACAACAAAGAGTGTTGTCTTAAAAGAGGAAAATTGTATCTTGAATCAAGTCTGCTTTTTTCTTTCATGCTTTTATAGTGTTTATAGAGAAAATTGGAAGTCTAAAGATTGCCAGTTGCACTAAAGAGCCACACAAAAGTCTGCAATAAGTGCTAAGTAAGATTTTAATACAAAAGAAGAGAGGAGAAGAAAGTGAGGAGGAGTTGAGGGAGGGAAAGGGAAAGAAAAAGAAAAAAGATTGGTAATGAAATTGACAAACGTATTTACATTTACATTATTTTTTAAATTGACAGAGAACATTGTATGCTTTTATTATGTACAACATTTTGGAGTGGTTAAATCTAGCCAATTAACAAATGCATTATCTCACATAGCTCTCACCACAGAAATGATAACTATTCATCTACATTATTCAAAAAGTAAAGTGGCTATATTTATGTTTTCAATCAACAAATTTGCATGAGTCCAAACTATATATAAATTTCCACATCTTATATATGTTCTAAGGTATAGTAATTCATTTCAATCTGTGACTCAAATGACATTAATTAAAAGGATAGTTAAAACCAATTCCTTGACAGCAACCTTCATTTTAACTAGACTCTTTGAAGATAGAAAATTTATCATTTCTAAATAAACCCTTAGACATAGTTGAATATAATAATTATACATTTGTATGTTTGTACTTCTAACACTTTCATGTGCACCGTATAATATTATACTGACAATAATCCTGTGAAGAGTCATTAAGTGATGTGCAGTATCATCATTTAATTGCTGAAAAATTTGAGACCGCAAAATGTTAAATAAATTAGCTTATGTTAAAAGTTCATGGCAGAACGGAAACCCAGGTTTCCTTATTCCTGGTCCTATTTCCTATCCTTTGAGCAACACTGCCTCCCTAAATTACTTTTGTTTCACGTAGGAGATAAATCGTTATTTGACATTTTAAATGTACATTGCCTTAATGAGTTATTTTATATTACAGGAATATACTAGGCACTTACTTTGTAAAACTTGTCTAACAAAATGCTTGGAGAAGCTTTCTTAATTGATCTTCTATACAAAGAACAGAAATATGCAAAATTTTGCAAACCATTTATGTGTAAGAAGACTGAAAAGGAAACTTGGAAAAAGAAGATTTTAGATAGAGAAGAAAATTCACTTTCCTCTGCTGAGATGGAAAATCAAGAAACAGCTAGGAAAGAAAGTGTAACAGAGCAAAATGATGATACAGATCAAATAAAATCTGTGGATGAAACAACCGTAGCAAAATGCAAAGGTATATGTCTTCCAGGAAATGTGTCAGTTGCATTGCCCATTTCAAAGAGAGAACAACTTGATCAAAGACAACCAGATTTATGTAGATCATGGTTGTGTATGAGTATTTGCCACAATTATCCTGACCTACAGATTGGAGGTGACGACATGAAGAACATATGTGATTCAGACTGCTTTATGGAACACACACATAATGATGTCTTTAATGGTCCCCTTTTATTTTCAGTTGGTATGCCACTGGGTCATTCTCCTGTCATTGGGCCTCTAGAGACATTACCTACCTCAAAATTATTGAACGGGGATGAAAGCCAAGAAAAAAGTATGTTGTTTCAAAAACAGCCCCTCTCTAATTCTATGCTTAATACTTATATGGAAAGAAAGGTGGACGAGCTCTATAAACAATTATTGGAAGAAAATCTCACCAGATGCCACTCTATAACCAATCTTATGGCTTCCAATTTGCTAATGAATAATGTAAATTACACCAGCCTTCAAACCTCTCAAGAGCAGAACGTTGAATTATGGAAAGATCAGGAAGCTATCCTACACTCTCTACCACTATGTAATCTCTGTAACCGTTCTCATGGAAAGAGTTCTGAATTCAGTACTCCTAACTTACAAATATCAAACCAGACAGTTAGGGAACTTCTATGACATCTACAGTAGAAACCAAATGTAAGTTGTTTGGACATACTTAAGGGACTGCAATAACAAGAGTTTTCTCTGGCTTATCATGTCACATCTAGCCTTCTTTGAGGTGTGGTTATTATAGTTTTTGAGAAATGATTTATCCCATGGTACATCTGAATTCTTGTAGGAGACAACTATAGTAACTACATTTTTGAGTGCATGTTCTTAATGTGTTGATATTTTAATTGTTGCCAGATTAAACTCTATATGTGTTTACCTATTTAATTTTCACTGGCACCCCAAATCAATTACCTCAGTGTCACACAGCTTTATTTACAACAAAAATGGGATGAGGAGTGGATTATTGCTCTAAGATACTGAGGACAACTAGAAGGTATATCAGAGAGGGACATTTATTTCCCCACAAAATTGCATTGATAATGACAATCAAAATAGTCTAGGGGAAATAATGATATGTAGTTATGGATATGGATATGTATATCTGGATATCTATATGTGGCTATCTATCAAGATTGAGTATGGGGACATATAAAAGGAAATACTTTAAACAAAAGTCAAATTTAAATGATATTTGAAAGAAACACGGAAGGGGGGCTTAAGGAAAAATGGAAAATTCCTAAGTACCATTTGTATTGAAACTTGGTGCTTTGGAACTTACCTGGAACGAGCATTAACTGTTTTATACGACTGTTATTCCTGGTTGTTTTTAGGGATGGGAGGAAACAAAACATACAGGTAGAGTGAAGAAAGCAGAGTACCACCATTTAGAAATAAAAAGGCTCTCAGCAACTTATTACACAACAGATTATCCTCAATCATGATCCTGGCTTAGAGTGAAAGGCAGCAGTGTATTACGGAAATTTTCGGATTTAAATTAAATACATTGACAAAATATATCTAAAGTAACAGTATAATTTATTGCAGACTTGGAGAAAAGCTTCCACCCTTTTAATAGAAATAGGAAGATGATCGGCATGCACTTGTGTGTTGTAAAATAAAATGGTATTAATTTCTGTTATAGAATTCTTATGATTATGTTATGCATTAATAAGATTTGTGCATTGACAATCACATATTCCCTTCCAATTTTTTCTTGGGTCTTTGATTAACTCTTGTAGAATGAGTCACCATAATGCCCTAATAGCTTGTTCTTTATGATCACACAATACTTAGTTTATTTTCACCCTCTTCAAATGTATGCGAACTAATAATAAGTACCCCTGATTTGTCTTCTGTTTTTCTCTTTATTGCTCCCTTCCACACAATCCTCTACCATAACTGTCCCAATCAATTTTTATCATTCAGACATTTGATTCTGAAGAGACAATGAGTAAGAGTTTTGGAAAAACCAACTCAGTATCTTTAGATACTGAAAAACAGTTGTATGTATATTGTCTTTTATGCTGTTAAATTTCAGCATTTTAATAGAAGAGTTACTAAAATTATGAAATACTAATGTCAAAATTTACAAAAGTGAATTAAATGTCATGGGACAGTATTACTAGTGTGAATGGTTTTCTTAGGTACAGTAATATGTATTAATACTTTATGAAGCAGTTATATTCATAAAGTGTTGAAATTACATAGTATCATATAAAAAGCCACAGTATTTAGTATTTATCAAATTTATACATATATTTAATTACACTCTCATATTTAAAATTTTCGCCTCTTTATCTGTGTCATCAAAATATTTATCATCTAAAGATACTCACTTATGGTTAAAATGGTTTAAAAATACAATGCAATTCTTAAGTAAGGAAGGATGATGAATTTGGTGTTATGTTTTATCCTGACCTCATACCTACCGACTTTAGTGCTGGAGTGAAATATGCATATGACGTTGTGATTTATCACAGTTTGGCTTTAAGTAGTCATTCTTCATTCTGTTTTTCACCATGAGTATTATTCATATGACCACAATGTTCCCTTTCAAAACATTTTTTGAAACATATGGAATAATAAATTTCTTCTTGTCTCATATTTGCAGAAGTTGAAAGTATTAGTTTTGTGCTTCTATGAATATATGAAATGTAAATGATTCATTCGTTGGGGAGGATCATCATGTTTTCTGGTAGGAAAAAAAGTCGAGGAGGTTATGAAAGATGTTGAATACAATGTTGTCCCCTGCTTATATAGAGTTTAATTTACACCCCGTCTTTGGATTTCAGGTCACTATTGTGAGTCCCAAAGTAGATTTGACAAAGTCTAAGGTAGTTTTCTGTCAGGAGTGTCCTTTAAACATCACACCTATTTAAAAGATACAGTCTATACTGTACTCCTGGAATTTTCAGGCTCATTTTGTCTCATAGGTTAGTCCTCAAAAGAAGCCAGTCTCCCCGAGGTTATTAAGACTTGATCTGACACTGTGATGGTCCATTCAAGGTTTTAAGCAGAGTTTCTGGGTCTTACTAAAACTTGTTTTTGGAAATGGAGAAACAAAGTAAATAGTTCCTGCTTGAGGGATGGAAGTATCAAATACCATGAATTTATTTTCCTGTTAAAAAATTAAAGAAATATTTTCATAAAAAATTTTACTTTTAAGAGGTAAATGGCTAACTTAGCATTATTACATGATGTATGCGTGGATGAAGGGTGGAGAGGTGACTTGATGTGAATTAGTGTGTAGGATAAACTGGAATAATGTGTAGTTAAAGGAATGATTTTTTTCTAGCCAACGAAGAAAGAAATCAACAAATTAATATCAACAGATATCCATTAAATCAAATTAAGTGTGGTTTAATGTTTTCATAACTAGTCATTTGCATGGAAATTTAGCCAATCAACTATGTACGTGTGAAAATCCATGAAAAATGAAATAGTAATTCGAAAGCAAAATAGTTATCACAGTGTTAAAATTAAGCTAGGTGTCCTTTTATTCCCCAGGGGCAATTTGGAGCTTTTGCTCCCCAATTACATTGTTATGTTCTTTTCCTCAAGGTCTAGTAAATTTGTGAAAACGGCCTTATTATTACACATTGGTTCAGTATTTGTTAGTGTATAAAATATACACCATAACTTGGAGTTTTATGAAATAGTCTCTAAATAATTACATTTAAGATCATATCTGTAAAGCAATGTGAAACAAATTAAGGTATATTGACTGTAACTTAAAAAACACTGAATCATTGTCATGGGAAGTTGTCTTTGAATTGTTCTGCTATTTCTATTTAAAGCTGAGAAACTTGTAGCTTACGGAATTTCTCAATAGTTCTGGTTCTATTTCCCCAAATGAGTGGTGGCAGTTTACTATGAGAAAAATAAATTGTGAAAGACCTTGGTTTTGTCTGAAAGTGACCAAAGTCTTTTCCTGAATATACTATTTATCTTTTTTTTTCTTTTTTTTTTTTTTTGTGGGATGAACTCTCACTGTCTCCCAGACTGAAGTTAAGTGGTGCGATCTTGGCTCACTGCAACCTCCACTTCCCGGGTTCAAGCAATTCTTGTCACTGCAACCTCCACTTCCCGGGTTCAAGCAATTCTTGTCTCTCAGTCTCCTGAGTAGCTGGGATTACAGGCACCTGCCACCATGCCTGGCTTTTCTTTTTTGTTTTCTTTTCTTTTCCTTTCTTTTATTTCTTTCCTTTTTTTTTTTTATTTTTTATTTTTTGGAGAGAAAGGGTTTCATCATGTTGGCCAGGCTGGTCTCGAACTCCTGGCCTCAAGTGATCCACCCGCCTGAGCCTCCCAAAGTGCTGGGATTACAGGCGTTAACCACCACTCCCAGCTATGTATCCTAATAATTGTAAACTGAACCCACTTCTGCTAAATAGATTTTGAATAGAATTGAAAAAGTTTAACAACTCAGGATCCCAGGGACTTGTGTGGGTCTACCTCTTTCATTTAAGTGTTCAGCTTTACTTTAGGGAAGTCATGTAATTGTATAACATCCTTGTAGTCTTCTGCTTAAGAGAAGCTTAGAAATTCATATTATAAGGATTTTAGTGGTATGGGACCGGCTTGTGTCTGTAGCAGATCTCCAAGGCCAGTTGAAAACCAAAAAAGAATTTTCAGATCTTTCTGTCTTTCATGTAGAAATATCTCCAGAGGCTGACTCTCTTTTCGGACTCAGCCCGCCTGCACCCAGGTGAAATAAACAGCCATGTTGCTCACACGAAGCCTGTTTGGTGGTCTCTTCACACGGATGCGCGTGACATGTTGGTGCCGTAACTCGGATCAGGGGACCTCCCTTGGGAGATCAATCCCCTGTCCTCCTGCTCTTTGCTCTGTGAGAAAGATCCACCTATGACCTCTGGTCCTCAGACCCAACAGGCCAAGGAATATCTCACCAATTTTAAATCGGGTAAGCGGCCCCTTTTTTACTCTCTTCTTCAACCTCTCTCACTATCTCTTAACCTCTTTCTCCTTTCAATCTTGGCACCACCCTTGAATCTCTCCCTTCTCTTAATTTCAATTCCTTTCATTTTCTCGTAGAGACAAAGGAGACACGTTTTATCCGTGGACCCAAAATGCCGGCGCCGGTCACAGACTGGGGAAGGCAGCCTTCCCTTGGTGTTTAATCATTGCAGGGATGCCTCTCTGATTACTCACCCACGTTTCAGGGTTGTCTGACCACGCTGCAGGGATGCCTGCCTTGGTCCTTCACCCTAAGCGGCAAGTCCCAATTTTCTGGGGGACGGGCAAGCACCCCAACCCCTACCCTCCCTGTCTCTACCCCTTCTCTGCTTTTCTGGGGGAGGGGCAAGCACCCCGACCCCTTCTCTCCCTGTTTCTACCCCTTCTTGCTTTTCTGGGGGAGGGACAAGCACCCCAACCCCTTCTCTCCCTGTTTCTACCCCTTCTCGGCTTTTCTGGGGGAGGGGCAAGAACCCCGACCTCTTATTTTTGTGCTCCCTCTTATTTTTGCACCCTGACCTCTTATTTTTGTGCCCCAATACCTTAGTTCCACACCCCGACCCCTTTCCCACTTTTCTGGAGGACAAGAACCCCTGAACTCCTTCTCTCTGTGTTTCTACTCTCTCTTTTATCTGGGCTTGCCTCCTTCACCATGGGCAACCTTCCACCCTCCATTCTTCCTTGTTCTCCGTAACCTGTGTTCTCAAGAACTTAAAACCTCTTCAACTCACACCTGATTTAAAACCTAAATGCCTTATTTTCTTCTACAATGCTGCTTAACCCCAATACAAACTTGACAGCAGTTCCAAATAGCCAGAAAATGGCACTTTTGATTTTTCCATCCTACAAGATCTAAATAATTCTTGTCATAAAATGGGCAAACGGTCTGAGATGCCTGATGTCCAGGCATTCTTTTACACATCGGTCCCTCCCTAGTCTCTGTTCCCAATGCAACTCATCCCAAATCTTCCTTTTTTCCCTCCTGCCTGTCCCCTCAGTCTCAACCCCAAGCGTCGCTGAGTCTTTCTAATCTTCCTTTTCTACAGACCCATCTGACCTCTCCCCTCCTCGCCAGGCTGAGCTAGGTCCCAATTTTTCCTCAGCCTCCGCTGCCCCACCCTGTAATCCTTTTATCACCTCCCCTCCTCACACCTGGTCTGGCTTACAGTTTTTGGCTTACAGTTTCCTTCCACGACTAACCGTCCCCCACCTGCCCAGAAATTTCCTCTTAAAAAAGTGACTAGAGCGAAATGCATAGTCAAGGTTAATGTTCCTTTTTCTTTATCCGACCTCTTCCAAATCAGTTAGCATTTAGGCTCTTTTTCATCATATATAAAAAACCCAGCCCAGTTCATGGCCCGTTTAGCAGTAACCCTGAGACACTTTTCAGCCCTAGACCCTGAAAGGTCAGAAGGCTGCCTTATTCTTAATATGCATTTTATTTTATTACCCAATCTGCTCCTGACATTAAATAAAACTCCCAAAGTTAAATTCCGGCCCTCAAACCCCACAACAGGACTTAATGAACCTTGTCTTTAAGGTGTACAATAATAGAGGCAGCCAAGTAGCAACTTATTTCTGAGTTGCAATTCCTTGCCTCCACTGTGAGACAAACCTCAGCCACATCTCCAGCACACAACTCCAAACGCCTGAACCGCAGCTGCCAGAGGTTCCTCCAGAACCTCCTCCCCCAGGAGCTTGCTGCAAGTGCCGGAAAGCTGGCCACTGGGCCAAGGAATGCCCACAGCCCGGGTTCCTCCTAGGTTGTGTCCCATCTGAGCGGGACCCCACTGGAAATCGGACTGTCCAACTTGCCAGGCAGCCACTCCCAGAGCCCCTGGAGCTCTGGCCCAAGGCTGTCTGACTGATTGCTTCCCAGATCTTCTCAGCTTAGCGGCTGAAGACTGACGCTGCCCCATCGCCTCAGAAGCTTCCTGGACCATCACAGATGCTTTGGGTAACTCTTACAGTGGAGGGTAAGTCTGTCCCCTTCTTAATCAATACGGAGGCTACTCACTCCACATTACCTTCTTTTCAAGGTCCTGGTTCCCTTGCCTGCAAAACTGTTGTGGGTGTTGACGGCCAGACTTCTAAACCTCTTAAAACTCCCCAACTGTGGTGCCAACTTGGACAACATTCTTTTATGCACTCCTTTTTAGTTATCCCCACCTGCCCAGTTCCCTTATTAGGCTGAGACATTTTAACTAAATTGTCTGCTTCCCTGACTATTCCTAGGCTACAGCCACACCTCATTGCTGCCTTTTCCCCCAGTTCAAAGCCACCTTCACATCCTCCCCTCGTATCCTCCCACCTTAACCCACAAATATAAGATATTTCTACTCCCTCCTTGGCAACTGATCATGCACCCCTTACCATCTCATTAAACCCAATCACCCTTACCCCCCTCAACGCCAATATCCCATCCTGCAGCACGCTTTAAAAGGATTAAAGCCTGTTATCGCTTGCCTGCTACAACATGGCCTTTTAAAGCCTGTAAACTCCTCTTATAATTCCCCCATTTTACCTGTCCTAAAACCAGACAAGCCTTACAGGTTAATTCAAGATCTCTACGTCTTATCAACCAAATTGTCTTGCCTCTGCATCTCAAACATACTTTCTTTACTA